GACGCAAACGCCGCGACTGCGCAACATGCGTGCCATGCGACGCAAACACTGTGACTCCTCGGTGACTGCGCCACCGAGGAGACTCCACGCCGTGTCCTGGGCTGGTGGCAGGCTTCATGCCGGTCTCCACCACACGTGTACGATACACAATGGGCTGTGACGACTTTTTAAAGGCGCTGATCAGCGACTGAGGACCTGGCGCTCAAGTGAACTGCAGAAGCGGGATTGGTTGATGGTGCTGATGTTTTAATTTAGGTGGCGATTCGAACGCAGCGGTTACCTTGTGTCAGGAACAGGGCTGGATTGCAAATTACAGAGATACTGTTCGCTATTGAGCAGCACCATCTTGGCTTGGCACAAAGGCCAAATAAAATATTTCAGCGAGGCGTGGGTATGGTAGAACGGACGACAGGATATGCAGCTGCAGCATATCGCATATACAACACAGCGTACATACAATAGATGCAAACATCAACAGATCATGGTTTTGGCAGCCTGCCAAGTCAATGAACACGCTCAAGCACTTTGTGAGTTCCAGATAGGAGAAACACAATATGCACTTAAGCCGGTACAAATATGGCCATCGCGCGCATGTCGAATGAACGTCTGTCTCACATGGCCCGCACACGAACCCAGGGCCTCAAAGCATCGCACGAGCTTTTTGTATATTGCGAACCCGAGATCGGCAATAAAACCCAACATATTCAGGTATGCTGAAATGGAGGCAGCTTCTGGAGGTGCATTGGCGGGCTCCGACATGCTGGTCTCAAGTGGAAAATGACATGCCCAGGTTCCAAGTATACCAGTGATTTCCAAGGAGGTCTACACTCAAATAGTGGCCATGGCGCCCGATGGTGCGACGCTGACGAGAAAGGAAAATTGCAACCGGAGGCAAAAAGGCTTTGAGCTCATCAGCCACACACAAAAAACATTTCACAGCGCGGATGTTCAAAGCGCTGGCTTGGATGCCCCTGCCGCACGGCAAGATCGCATGTCCCTTCGGGTGACCACGCGGGACCGACATAGGCTCCACAGGCCCATCCGGAGCCGAATACGGGGCCCGGAAGCGGCGCGGACGGAACCGAGCACCGCCCAGCAGAAGCCCGTCCAAGGCGGGGTCTTCCGCTCCAGCGCCCGACCAAAGCCGGAGCCCGCGCGGCGAGCGAGCGCGCCGGCAGGGCCCGGCGGAAGCCGCGAGACCGTGCGAGAGCAAGCCGGCCGGCAGCGCCGCTCACAGTCCCCCCCCCCCCCCCCCCCGTGTGACGACCATCGCCCGGGGCGCCGACCTACCCGTAACAACGCGGCCTCCCTTCCATCAGCTGATGTCCCGGGGTCCGTCGGTCCCACTTCCATGCCGCTTACGCGAGATAACGATCCTATATACAAACCTCGGGCCGCTCCTCGGCCGACGACAGAGCTACGGCGGCCGGCCGCGGCCCACTCGGGCCGGCCGGTGCAGCAGACGGGGTCACCGGCCGGCCGGCCCCCCTTCCGTGTCACTGCTCCGGACACGCGCGCGCCGGCCGCGCTTGCGCAAGCGGCGCGCGCGCCGGCCCGTGACGTCACTGGTCGGAGATCGCCGCCGCCGCCGGGCCGCGTGACCTTCGCGGGTCGGGAGACGGGCGGCGGCGTGCAGCACAATGGCCGGCCAGCCTGATACCGGCGGTCGGCGGCCCGATGTGCCGCCACCGGGTCCAGCCGGTTGAAATTCCGCGCGTGCAGCCACACTCGATCATCGGACGCCGCGACAGCGCGCTTCCGCGTCTGCGGCCGGACGCGCTCCCCCTCCCCCCCCCCTCACCGCCACCACGCACACGTCTGCTGGAGCGGCGCTGACACGACCCGGCCGGCTCCCAGGGGCCGGCCGGCCGCCATCGGTCACCGGCGCGCCGCCATCGGTCACCGGCGCGCCGCCGGCGGCGCCAATCGGCGTCCTGCGCCGCGAGATGGACGGCTGACCTTATCAGATGGCGCTCGGCTCCCAGGTGGCTTTCTCTGCGCGGGGTCGGCCGCGTGTCCAGCTTTCTCGCTACGGGGGCCCGCCGAGACAGCAGCCGGCGCTCGTAAACAGCGCACCGATCGACCGGCCGTAAAACACGCGGCCGGCGCATCACGATCACGGCCCGTTTAACAAATTGAGCCGACCCGTAACGGCCGCCCCGACGCCGGCGTCGGCGGACGGTGAGAGCTGATGACGGCGGGCGGGCGGGCGGCGGGCGCGTGCGCCGCTCGTCGACATGACGCATCGGACGGTCCGGGCTCCGGGCGCGCCCCCGGTCCGGCCCGAGCGGTCCGGGAGCGCCGGTCGACCGCCACGGACCTGCCCCCGACGAGCGGTGGTGCGACGGGGACGTCCGACGGCCGCCGTCCGGCTGCCACTGCACGGAAGCACGCCGTCGCTCCCGGCGGCTGTCGTTCGGCTCACAGCCGGGCGGCTCTTGACATCGACGGGCCGCCGACGGCTCCACCCTGCGCAGCCTGGCGCGGGGTCGGAGACACCCACACACGACGGCCGAGGACCATGCGGCGGAGCCGTGCTGGTCTGCCGCACCGGTCCGGCGCCCGCCGTCACCTACGGCGGTGTGACCTGCGGGGGTCAGCGCCACGGCAGCCCGCTGCGGGACGGCCCTCGTTGACAGCCGCCGCCGGGCCACGGTCTGCCCCCACACAGGCCAGGAGTTGCCACGGTGCAGGGCGCCGCGCCGTCCGCGGAGAGACGGCAGCGGCCGTAGAGGTTCAGACAGGGGCGCACGCTGGCAGGGGCTGCGAGGGGACGGCGGCAGCTGCCGAAGGGACGGGAGGGCCTGCGGAGGGACACCAGCCAGCAGAGCGTCCCAAGGCCGAGGCGCCCGCCGTCTCGGGATGCGGCTCATTACCGCGCGGCCGGCCAACTTTCCTCGCCGTGAATGAAGCTGGCGCGCGACATCAGCGCCGCACACTGCCGAGAGCGTGACACGGCGTGACACCGCGTGACGGGGCGGGTCATTCAGCCGGTGACGGCGGGAGGAGCGCAGCCAGCTCTCTCTGGCGCCCGCCCCCGGCGTGAGAGTGCGTCGGATTTGTCCGAGCTGAGCCGGGAGGCCCTCCGGAGTGACATGTGGAAAGCCGACGCAGGTTTGAGCGGCAATGTCCGACCCGGCGCCGTAAGTGCGGCAGCGAGTGCGGGCCTTCTTCGTCACAAGTATATTCTTCAGTGGAAAAAGCGGACGGTCCGCTTCCAACCGAGCGCCGACACGACACCGACACGTCGTCGCTAAAAAAAAACTGGATTCGACCGGGCCATCCCATGATAGCACGCACTCGTCTGATTACTACGGCCGCAGTACAAGTGGACTCCGACCTCGTCATGTGCCGGTCGCCTCCTGTCACGCACCCGCCAGCCAATCCAAAGGCGTAGCCAGAAGAACAGGATCGCGGGCGATGGCAACACAACTGCCCAAGCGCCGCAGTGGGTCTGCAGTTCAGGTCAAATCTCCACAGCCCAGTCTTCGTCCACGGCCACTCCCCTCGCCACTGCCTGGACATGTCAGTGTTCATCTCGTCACTTGCGAATCCACGGCGGGGAGCACACACCAGCCACACACGGTGGCGAGTTGACGGCTACGAGTACAGGCTGACGCCAAAAGTTGGTTTCCCAAAAATATGCCGCTGGCTCCGCCCCTGCACGTGGTTCGTTCCGCGGCGCGACTCGTGCTGACCGCTGGCAGCGCGGCCCAAGCACGATGCCCGACCGACCAGAAAAACCGCCGGCCGAGACGGGCACGGTCACCGACCGGCGGCAGGTGTTCCAGACGCCGCGGCGGCGCCGCGCAGGGCCAAGCAGGGTCGGATTGGACCGGATCGGACCGGATCGGCCGGGGCCGAACGACGGATCAGATCGGATCCGACTGCAGACCTAATGGGTTGGCGGCCGAGCGGCGGCAAGCGGTCGGGCCACAGCCGGCCGGTGCTTGAGGCATGGCCGTATGGAATCTGACCAATTGCAAGCGCTCTGAATCAGACGACAGGCGGGACAGTGGATAGCACCGCGACATTTTCCGAAAGGCCCGTCCGACACACCAGAAAAGGCAAAACGTCTCTGGCAGTGCCAGCAGAGGCGAAATGCCTCGGACAGTACTAACAGGAACGGAATGCCCCCGGCAGCACCAGCAGAAGGTTGAGCCCCAGTTCACGCACCGGTAAGCACCCGTGACATATTTATGGCCCGTGTCTAAAACGTGTCCCGCGCCGCTCGTCTTCCGAAGGATCCGTGCGATCGAGTGTCTGAAGCATCTCAATCGCTCAGCGGCTTTTCGCCCGTGAATGTCCATTTGGAGACAACTGAGTCAATTTCAGTCACCATTCGCCTGTCCTCGACAGTCCTCGTCATCGGCCGACGTCATATGTTTGCGAGCGCGGATCCGCTCAGCCAGCGGCAGACGGCTGGTTTCTCCATGGTGTAGGCCGTACGTCTGACAGGTGGCCAAACACCAGCTGACACGGAGACGGGCCCGCTCACGAGCAGTCACGAGTCTCACGACCGGTGAGATTAGGTCACGGGTGGAGGTCCGGCCGTCTCCCCTCTGGCGCATGGCGACGGCACGCCCAGAGCTGGTCGTGGGTGCGGGTGGGGAGCGTAGCGCTGGCCGCCCACCAAAGGTCAGAAGGCACGAGTCGCGACAAAATCGGTAACCGTACAATCAGCTGATCGGACGGGGGAGCGTCCCAGGCCCCCGCTGCGGGGGAGGGGGGGGGGGGGGTAACGAGCGTCATCGAAACGTGCCTTGATGGAGGGCGAGCAACAGGCGGTAATAAGGCCGACACCAGATAGCAGCGCACACTGAAGAGTGATACTTTAATATGTCGTTTATTCATGTTTTAAGTAATGTTTTACACAATATTCCACAGCCGTCTGGCATGCAAATGGAGAAACAGTTATTTCTCCAAAATTCGACACATCAATTGGTCTGAAGCGAGAACATCGCAAGCAGGTACAAGAACATGTAGCAAACGGTACTCACCAGTAGGGCATTAAATAACATCTTCATCCACACATGCTATGGAAGTGCAGCGTCGCTATAGAATCGCACAGCAATACGTCCCTTTGTCAACCTCTGGACTGTCATTCATTTCTCGCACGATCTCGGAGAAGACGGGGTTCACGTTGGTCTTGCTTTTGGCACTAGTTTCCAGGAACGGGCTGCCCCACATCTGCGCCAGGGCCATGCCTTCCACCGATGACACTTCTCGCTGGTGCTCCAGGTCAACCTTGTTTCCGACCAGCATGATTGGCACCCGGTCCGATCCCTTGACTCTTGCGATCTGTTCCTTCATGTTCTTGATGTCTTGAAACGTTTGGTGATTCGTAAGACTGTACACGACCAGAAATCCCTGGCCGTTCTTGATGTACAAATCACGCATGCTGGCGAACTGTTCGGTACCAGCTGTATCCAGAATCTCCAACACGCACGGCGATCCATCGACTTCGATTTCTTTGCGGTAGAAATCTTCAATCGTGGGGTCGTACTTTTCCATAAAGTGTCCGGACACAAACTGAACGGTGAGGGCGCTCTTGCCCACACCACCGGAACCCAACACTACCACCTTGAACTCCCGCATCGTTCTATCGGCCGATGAGACGGCACAGAGGAGTCCTCAGAAACGTATTTCACTCCGACCTCGGTATGTGCACAGAGTTGTATGCACCAATGCACAGACACACGCACCGGCGGCCCGCAGGATCCCGAGACGACGCACCAACCCCGACCGCCGACGACCGACTGCGCGGAAAAGCCCGCCGCTTCGATGCTCCATTGAGCGCCACGATGTGTCATATCTGGTACAAGCGCTCAGCTCGTTTGCCAGATAGGCCGCTAGGGGGACAATTCACAGGCAAAAGGTAGCCTCACTTTGTTTCGATTTGGTAAACATAAAATTTCCTCTCACTAAGTCCTTCGGAAATGCATTGAAGTTCAAATTGAATAAATTTAGATAGAACATCCCCAAGCAGTCAACCAAATTTTTAATTAAACGAGGCCAAATCTTGCAAGGAACTTTTTAAGTAAATCTTACAAAACATAATGACGTATAAAATCTGAATAAGCAAACTCAACGGATGAGAATATATTCGATGTTGAAAGTTTGGGTCCAAAGTTTTAATTTCAGTACTGGTATATTTGTCAAGTGAGATATCAACTAGACATCTAGAATATCAACCAAAACATGAGCTGGGGTTGGCTTGGAGCGGCGGAAAGAACAGGACACCCCAGCAAGCCGATATCTGAACATAATTTGACTTCCCAAAGGCTCCATCCGAAAGCTTTACTTGTGGAAACGTGTCAGGTAATGCTTCGATCCACAGGCACTCACGAGCCACGAGACGCCTAATCATCAGATGTTAGCGTGTTATCTATAGTTTTGCTTACGTCTGTGCAATAGCGATGTATGTACCGTGCATGCGCGCATTTTTGACAAGTAAAATTAGTGTCTTCGATGTTTATAGCTAAAGACTTCTGTCCATATCGCTTGATCTTGACATAGATCGGTGTTGTAGAACGACGCAAAGAATGTGCTGCTCGCCAAAACCCTACCATCTAGTGTCCAAAAATGAACTATTAGTTGATGAATGTGGCAATACGAGTGATGGACGCGCTTTGGCAATACGAGTATAGCATGCGGTCGTGTTGCATTCAGCGCCAGCTGATGATTCCTTTCTATTGCTAGGCTACCTCTTTGTGAAGTTAAAAATGGTTAGAATTGGCTGCTAGGGATGCCGACCCTAAGGCAAGCAGCTGTGGCATGTGTCACTAAAGGGACCAGCAGGGCACAAGCACATGACCTTACAATTTTCCAAAAAGCCGAATGTCAACATAGCGACGATGCATGAAAAAAACATCAAAAAATGCTTAGTCCTTCGCACTTTTTGGGACGTTCCTGCGTTCCTGGCTGTAAGGATCAATGCTCAAAGACGTTTTTAACCAGTGTGATGTATTTACAGTTGCAAACCAGTGCCCAGGCGCATTCTTTGTACAGTCCAAGGGTAATGGTTCAAGCAGAGCGGCCGGGTGGTGCCGCCTACACGTGCCACGCCTGACACAATGACAATGAAATCCATCTATGATGACACTGATACGCTCGAAATCATTGATACCGATGACGCGGAAACCTCTCCTAAGGCGAGCACATTACATCACCTCACAAAGCATACTCATGCTTTCATGCGCCTCAAAACTGTACAGCGCACAGTTAACAAAAGGTGGCGTCACAATACATACGCCGGTGCGTACATGGTCTTCACAACTCCAGGCCGCGTCACATGTCCACACACTGATCACTGGCGGCGCCGTCGTCTTGCGGCGCGACCATACTAGAGGTCCGATCGAGGGCGGCCATGGCCGCCGCCCTCCGCTCACATGAGCTCCAGGAAGATGGGCCTGTTGAGCATCACCTCCTGGTTGAGCGTCTTCAGCGCCGTCATCGCCTCCGCCTTGTTCAGGAAGGCCACGCGAGCTTCGCTGCTCGGCCTGCCCTGCTCGTCGTAGCGTCGGATCACCTGCTCGGGGCTGATGTTGAAGTCGCCGAAGAAGAAGAGGATATCCTGCGTCGTGGCGCGGTACGGGATGTTGGCCACGCCCAGCACGCAGCCGGGGTGGCCGAAGCCCTCCGCCGGACCGGCGTCCAGTGGGCCGCCAGGGCCCGGACCGAACGCGCCCGGACCCAGGCCTGGCGGGCCGCCGAAGCCGCCGCGGCCGCCGCGCATCAGAGGCGGCCCGCCGCGCGCCGCGAAGCCGCGGCCGCGAAAGCCGCCGCCGCGCGGGCCGCCGCGGCCGCGTGGGTAGAAGCCGGGCCCGTCCACCGGCGGCTCTTCGTGGCCGTCGTGGCCGTTGTCGGCGGGCGGCGCGCCCTCGTGCTCGCCGTCGGCCGCGTCCAGATCCAGCGCCGCCTGGACGGCTGCCAACGACACCGCCTTCACCGCCACCTCGTTGGTACCCATGAACTGCTCGTGCTTGGTTAGAGCGCGCTCCACCTCCTGCGCGTTGGCGAACTCGCAGTACGCCCCGCCGTTGGGGTTCTGGAACTCGTCCAGCAGGATGTGCAGTTTCTGCGGCAGGAGACCCACGTCCGAGAAGAAGTCCACCACCTTGGACTCGGTCACGTTGGGCGGCAGACCAGTGATGTGCACACAAGTGCGGTCGCCGGCCGCCTCCTCTGGCGCGGCGCCGCCGTCCTCCGACTGAGCGCCGGTGTCCGCGCCGGCGCGCGGCGACTCCCTGTCCGGGCGCGGCCCGCCGTGCGGCGAGTCGTCCGGCGGCGGCCGGACGGGCCGCGGCCGGCCGCCGGGTCCGCCGCCGGGCCGCAGGCCGGGCGGGTCGCCGGCGGCGGCGGGCGGCCGCGCCGGCTGCGGCGGCATGATCGGCGGGAAGTGCAGCATCTGGCGGGCCCAGTCGTACTGCTGCTTGACGCTGTACATGAAGCGCACGCTGCGCTGGCTGACGCTGGCGCCGTCCAGCTGTGCCAGCGCCGCCGCCGCCGTCTCCACCGAGTCAAACAGCACGTACGCCACGCCCGTGCGCTTGTTCGGGTTGTTGCGGTTCGTCTCGAAGAACATCTCGACGAACGGGTAGCCCTGCAGCAGCTCGATCATGTCCTCAGGCTGCGCGAAGTAGGAGACGTTCTCAAGCCGCACGAACGGCGAGGGCGGCTCCTGGCGGCGCCGGCGCGGCGCGGCCTCCTGCGGCGCCGCAGGCAGCTCGTTCATCTCGCGCGGCTCGTGGAAGCGGGGTCCGGACGGCAGCTCAGGCCCGCGCCGCGCCGGCGGCCCGTATCGGCCCACCGGTTGCTTGCCGTAGCCCATGAACTCCTCGCTATCCATCGGGTCGCCGTAACCAGCCTGGTCGTCGTAGTCCATCGCGTCCATCTCAGCCATTCCGTCTCCGCGAGACATTGGGTTGTGGCGCCCCAGCCGATCCGGGCGCCCCATCAGGCTTGGTCGCCCCATCGAACCTGGACGATCCATCAGGCCTGGGCGTCCCATCAGCCCAGCGCGATCCATCGGATCTGGGCGCCCCATAGGGCCCGGATGGTCCATGGGATCCGGACGTCCCATCGGCCCTGGGCGGTCCATAGGGTGCCGTCGGCCGCCCAGGGCCGGGTCGCGCGCCATGTGATCCGGCCGGTCCATCAGTCCCCGCTTGCCCACGGGATAGTCACGGTACAGCCTGTCCTCGGGGTTCACGCGACCCATTCTGCCCATCGGGTACTCGCCGCCCGAGTGGTCCAGGCCCATGTGTTCGTCCATCCCCATGCGGTACTCCTGCGCCGCCGGGTCGTCGTGACCGGCGAGGTCATCATACTCGTGGCCGTCCATCTCCTGGTGTCCGCGCTGTGCGCCCATGCCCTCGTAGGGGTATTCGCGCGCCAGCTCTTCCTCGCGCGGCTCGCGGCCCCGCCGCATCTCGGCCTCCTCGGCCGGATCATACTCGGGCCGGGCCGGCCGCTCGCGCGCCGCCAGCCGGCCGCGCGCCATCGCCAGGCTCTGGCGCGCCAGCGCGAAGTCGCGCGCCGCCGCATCCTCGCGCCGGCTGAGAGCCTCGGCCGCCGCCGGCGTCGGGTGCTCCAGCAGGCCGCGGCGCGGCTCGGGCCGCTCCTCTGGCGCGCGGCCAAGGCGCTCAGCCGGCGCCTCGCCGTGCGGCTCCTTGCGCGGCGCCTCGCCGAAGCGGCGTAGCTCGTCGGGAGAAGCGAGCGCGTCGCGCTCCGGACGATACGCGTCCACGGCCGCGTTGAACTCGGCCTGGTCCAGCGGCGTGATCCGCACCGGCTGGCCACGTACCAAGGTCTCGGAGCGCTCCAGCCCCTGCAGCCGGTCGTGCATGGAGCGGAAGTTGACGTAGGCGGTGCCGGTGCGGCGGCCACGCTCGTCGTGAATCATCTTGATGCCGCTCTGGCCCACGTGGATGCCGCGGAAGAGGTCGCGCACGTCGCGGTACGAGGCGTTGGTCGGCATGTCGCGCACGCACACGGCGCCGCCGTCGTGCTGGCTGTCGTTGGCCGGCGGAAAGCCACGGCCCGGCGTCTGCGTCGACAGTGCCGCCGGCTCCTGGAAGCCGTTCGGTGTGGCGGACAGCAGCGGCTCCATCATGCCGGCCCGGCTGGACAGCGCCGGCACTGGCTGCGGCGGCATGGGCGCGCCCTGCTGGAACAGCATCAGCTCGTGCTGCAGCTGGGCCTGCGTCTTGACCGGCGCCGGCTCCCACAGGCCGGGCACGCTGACGGATGTCGAGACGGGCGCCGCCGGCGCGGCCACGGGCGTCGACGCCGGCGGCAACGGACCGGCGGTCGCCTCCGCCGGCCTGTCTCCAAGCAGACCGCCGCGCGGCGGCGCCGCCAGCCGCTGCGGCGCCGCCGCCGCGCCCGTGCCGGCTGCCTCAGTGCTCTCCTGGGAGCGGCTGCGCATGTCGTCTCGGCCGCGCTCGCCGGGCCGCGCGCGCTCGCGGTCGCGCCGCGCTCGGTCACGGGAGCGGCTGCGCTCGCGGCGCCGGTCGCGCCGGTCGCGCTCGCGCGAGCGGGAGCGGGACCGGTGGCGGCGGCCCTTGTCGCGGTCCCGGCGGCCGCGGTCGCGGTCCCGCGAGCGTGAACGAGACCGCGACGAGCGGCGTCGCGGCATGCTTCGGCTGCTGCTGGTTCTGTCCAACTGGAATGAGAGAAACCCGGACACACATGTCAGCAAATGTCTCTTTTTCAGTTCTGTTAGCCTCGTGTGCATCTAGTAACAAACGCTGGCCACATTGCAAAGCATAACCACCGTATGAGAGCACATAACCACGCAATCGCAAACGGGTGACCCTACTCCAAACATTGACCAAAAATACCACAAATCCACAAGTCACAAATCAAACCCCCAAAAAATCATAAAAAAACAAAATCAAATTTACCCAACAACACCCTCGCCACTTTCGTAACCCGTGAATGGTGGCCATCATGTGGCGTCCTCGGTGACCACGTGGAGCACCGTACCTCGATATGCCCGATCCGATCCACGTATCCGAGGCTGAGGCCCGTTTCGCGGCTTCCGCCACTTCCCAATAACTCCCTATACAACCCACCCCGCAGAGCCCTCCACCCCAGACGACTCTCTCTAGCCCACCTGCTTGATCTCGATGATATCGGGGTCAGCCGCTGGTGGCGCCACCGGCGCGGGCACTGGCGCCGGCACGGGCGCCGGCTGCGGCAGCGGCGCGATGGCGGTGACCGGCATCGGCGCTAGGCCCTGCGCGGCCATGGAGCGCTGGCGCGCCAGCTCGATGACGCGCTGCATCTCAGAGCGCGAGCTCAGCAGCAGCGCCACCTGGGCGTTCTGCAGCCGGCCGCCCGTCTTCATCATGGCCTGGCGGGCGTCCTCATCCGAGCTGTGGGGCAAGGGGGAGGGGTCAGCCGACGGTGGCGGTATCTGGCAGGAGGGGCGCGGCGGGCAGGGGCAGCGGCGATGTACCGGGTACGGCGGCAAGTCGACGGACAACAGACTGACAGAGAGCTGCCGGACAGCGATAACGACGCGGAAACGAGGAACACGCCGTCTGAAGAGGGGATAAATGGCAACAGCAGGTAACGTACGAAGTGCAAAACGGGGACGACCAGCCATGGGTCGTCAGGCACCACCGCCAAGTATCCCTGAGTTCAAGAACATCCCACGTGCCGCGAGTGAAAGCCGCGTTTCAAATACTATTGCCCCACAAGGCCGGATTATATCGGATAACATTTATTTCAATGGTATATGCTTTCCGCCACAAATACTGACACATCCAACGTCAAATAGCACGATAGCCTTTCATTTATGCATGCCTGGAGCACTCCCGAACCCTCAATGGGGGCAAGGGAAACTCAATGGAAACGAGCACTTCATTGCTACCCTGCCAGCTCTTTCTCCGACCAACAAGCCCGTGCGTGGGCGATGCGTTTACCACACACTCGACGCGGTCTGTTTCGGTCATGCCCAGCACCGAACGCCTGTTCCGATGCTGCTCACCCACGCCACCCCGCAGCACATTTCGTGCAGATAAGATACGCGGTAGCCGAGGCCAGGCACTTTGTGCTAGCGTCTCGCGTCGCTGTTTGGCCACAGCCGACTCATCCAAAGTGAGCTGAAGGTTTGCGACAACACCCCGCATGATATCTCCGCCTACGTCGTCAGTAATTTTTAGAAGTCTTTCGAACGCTGAATGCACGGTTGGTGGCATATGTGGGGATTAGTTCTACCGGGGGACGCGACCTGAGCTGACACAGCACACAACAGCTGATGGAGCGATTGCGATTCGGCCAGCCACGCCAGTGTACGATGTCTCCAAAGCCCATTGTCCGTGCCCGACGCGGTAGGCACGCTGTAGAGGGATCGCGCATCGGTCATGTGGTCGTCGCTGATAGTCAGCTCGCCTGTGTCCACGAGAACCCAGATGGAACGGGCAGTCACGCCTCGGCGCATGACACGCTACGACGTGCGCTGAACTGGATTTGCCGAGCCGGATTCTAGAATGTTGCCATGGAATATTGATCTTTTGAGCTGAAATTGTTAAACTGGATTGGTGGCGTCATCGTTTTTACAGGGATGTACGTTTAGCGGACTCGAATCCCAGCATAGTCCGCGCAAACCATTGTCCCACTTCTGACACCAAAAAACGTAATAAAGAACAACCACGAATACTGGGACCCTATCTGCACGCTCCCAAAACTCGTGGAGGAACTGGCCCCAGCAGTCGACGCGCCCGGAAAATCCAACCACAATCAATCAATTCACCAGTAAATGACAAACGCAATGTATATTAGCGATGAAAAGACCCCCATTCGCAACAGCGGTGACCCATTCTTGACTGCCTTGACCTCATCGAAAATCGACCACTGCTATAACAAGCATTAATACCATGTTAATACGCGGAGCGCCAGCGTCGAGCCCCTTCGCAGCGACTACCGGCGCCTCCCAGCGCTGGCGTGTCGACCTGTTCCGCTCGCGGTCCGGTCCGACCGTGCCCGATCATGTCCGAGAGCGCTGACCTCACTGCAGGGGGCCGCGCTCGTGTATGGCATCGGTTGCATGCACAATATCGCGCAAAACATCCCCCCGTACGCGCCCTCGCCCCAACACACTACCCCCGCACTCTTGACCACGTCGATGAAACAGATCGTAGTTATTTCCTGAGTTTGAATAAGGCGATGGCTTTCCCTCCCCAGGGTGAGAGAGCTGGCATAACCCCTTCCGGCTATTCTGAGATATGCATGGAATCGCTAGTCCTGTCATAACTTAATTACAGAAATGACTGAACTGAACTGAACGGAAACAACGAAATTACGGAATGGCTGTGACGGACGCTAGGTCTTTGTGTGCTGAATATTCGGATGTTCGCAAGTTTAAAATCGTCCGGTAATTTTGCGGTGATAATTGAGTTCCCAGTCCTTTAAGGCTGAATTTGACCTAGAATGATGACCCTGAGAGGTCGGAAATTTTTGATGGACGCACTTCTTTCTGTGATGAATATTCCGACACTGCTAGGATTAAAATCGGCCTGTTCTTATTCGGCGATATTGAGTTCCCCGTCCTGTGAGCCTGAACTTGACCTTGAATGACGCCCCTGAGAGGTCAGAACTTCTTAACGAACGCGTTTTTGGGCTTGTCAATATTTTAATGACTGTAGGTTAAGAATCATCGGTAATTCTTGAGTGATATTGAGTTCCTATCCTTTGACCTCACTTTTGACCTTCAAGACCAAATGGTATTGCAAAATAAACGTCATTTTCGGTGTTCTCGTGACGTAATTGACCTTCAGCCATTTTTCCAGAGAAATCGGAACTCGTCGCTAGAAAAATCGCCAACTTCACGGGCATCCCCCAATATGGGATGCCTGGTTTATAATATAATGCACTATAAAATCTGGTTAAATAATAGTCTGGGTTTCCCAGACAGCGCAGTGGTGAACGCAGACGCGTTAACCATTGCACTTTTGGCAGCCTTACAGTCGAAGGGCATTCCTTACCGAGGTTGCGCGAGACCAGCTGTTAACAAACGCTAGAAGTAACGCTTATAGACTTTCAAGTAAATAAACGCTGTCGTCATGCATCAACACTTCAAGCGTATGGCCACCCGGAACCAGCCATACAAGGCCATCTAATGACCCCAGATAAGCTCAGGTTACCACCTGGAAGCACATCATGGCACGCTTTGACCCCCACTTTTATTTCATAAACATATGAAAGCTACTCCCGGACGAAAAGCGCGTTTTGACGAACACGTAGATCAGACAGGCTACCATTCAGTTTTGGAATGCTTGCTCAGTGTTTTGAGCATAAAATCGGAAGCAGCATCATTGCCCCACGCAGCGGAAAGGGGCGAAACTGTGGACGTTGGTGAACTTTACGACCCCCGTTTGGCGCGCTTCATTGAACAGGGCTGGAGGTGGTGGTCGCCTTTAGGGCCTTTTACCACGACGGTGAGTCATGTTACCGCAGACCAACTTCGCTGTGTCGTAAACGTCATCCTGAGGCCCGCCGCAGACATCTCTCTCCAACACCGCACCTGCCTGTTTTACCCCCCCCCCCCCTCTCGTATGACCATGCGAGTTCGATCTCGGTCCCCTGTGGTCCCAAGCGCTCGCTACACCCATTGGCACATAGTTTTAGTTGCAGACATTAGTGCCAAACAGTATTAGCCTGTCTCATTCGCTCTTTGAGACCCACGCGCGAAGCCTCATGCTACCTGATTTACCCACGCTCATTTGGGCCCATCCGATCTACGGATTTATAGGACTGAGCAGTCTCTGCTTTGACCCGGCGCGACAAATGCTTGCACGAGATACAACGCGAAATTGCGTGGGACAACTGGGATTGCCGACTCGCTACCCGTTTTTGTTTGGTCCAGTAGGCGTGGCAATGCTTGGACGTTCGCAGGTGGCAAACAGCAAACATGATGAGGTCTCCTGTTTCGGTACCATCGTTCCCGATTCTCGCCGCCGATGAATACGTGATAGACGACACATTTTGCTATGGCCCGTGGCGACTAAATCCCGCCTTGTGATGAGCTTCTGAATGTGAAAATGAAATGAGCTTTTCAAGTGAGCGGGGCATTTGTCTTTTGAACTCTGGATCGATTAAGTTATTAATTTTAGCGGAGCCGCTTAATTACGCAACGGGGACGCTGACAGTGTTTGCAACAGGGGAAAGGCCACCATGATTTGCGGCGGGCGACTGTTTCTTTTCACGAGCGAGTCCCAACCCATCGACAGCAACTGCATACTGCAAATATACTAACAGGCCCAACAAACAATAAAAAGGTACCGTACCAAACTAGTTAATGAGCTATCGATGTTAGTTAACCCTAGCGCCTTAAGCAGCCGCCCCAGCTGGACACCGCGTAAGTCCACCCGGCCGCCCGCTAATATTGTTCCAAAATCAAGGCTGCCCGACTCTATGCGTCCCATACCGTCGTCGTTTCTGAGATTTAAAACCAAACAGATTTCCTGATCACCGGATTGCAGAATTACGTTCGTCAGTGTGGTGAAAACTACGCTCGAGCCTGACAGCGGGAGGGGGCTAAAGCCCCACAACCCTCCCACCCCTTGGCTGCGCCGCCGACAAGCAGAACCCCGCTTCCCCATCAGCGATCCCCAGCTCTGTATCTTCGAGCTCGTCATTGTTGTTTGCCACTTTGCATTTCAGTTCACTATACACCATTATTTGGTTGTTCGGTAGGAGACTTCATGCAGTCAATAATAATGCACCACTGGTGCGAGTTCGTGCCAGGATCAAGAGAAGGCAAGAGAAGCGGGAGACAATCCAGAGAGGAGTTCAGGTGACTCGTCATGTCATGGAATGCTCCCAGACGACGCGGACCCAGGGCCGCATTATTCGATCGCCCCTGCCCTGCGGCTGCGTCACGTGACCATCTGGGCCGAGTTCCATTCGCAAACCTAAGTCTTCAAAGTAATGGAGAAACCAAGACTTGACCTGGCCAGCCACCGAAGACTTGGCGGCGGGCTCCTGAACGCTGTTCGCCTCATCCCGTGTTCCAATTTGGACCTAAATGACCTTGACAGCTGAGGCGTGCAGCCAAGACGCCGCGGCGCAAATCGTCGCGCGCTAGCGGTGCACCACGACGTTCGATATCGTGGCCCGGTACGGACGGTGAAGTCATGATCTCCCGTCACGGTGCGGTGACGTCATTAGCTCCCGTTACCGTGCAGTGACGTCATTATCTCTCGTCACGGGGCGGTGATGTAACGATCGGCTGACTGCCGGACTTTGGCACAGGCATCTCCAGCCATGACCACAATGCCGTAAGCGATTGCCACGGCACACTGCGCGCTACGTCATGAGCCGGGCGCCGGTGACAACTGCCAGCTTCATCAGACAGGCAGCATTTCAGCAG